CACGGCTTCAACGGCTTCGACGGCTACAACAAAAATTATATATTGCCTCTGCACATCTCTACAATTATCTTTATATTATTATTGAAAAATTCGATAATTTCGGAATTCGATTAATTAATATTCTCCTTTTATTTATTATAATATTAGATATATTTCTTAGATACGATATTTTCGCATAATTTTTGATATTCTCATTATTAATATTTTTCAAATAAACCCCTGAATTATCAATATTTATTTTCGATATTATATTTCTTCTCATTATCTCGATCAGAAGAGAATAAGATAATTGATAATAATCATGCGGCGAATCCTCAAATTGAGAAATGAAATAATGATTTCGATTTCTTTTGGAGATTTCGATAAACAAATTAAGATCTTTAATCGATTTCGATCAAATAAAGATTTTGAATATCTATCTATGAATTCCTAACTCAAAGATTCTAGAAGAACGAATAAACAAATTAAATATCTATCTATAATATCTTTGATAGATAGTCTTCAAAAACGATATATCTATCTCTATTCCGAGTTTCTCTTCTCCCAATATTTTCCATTTATAAGAAGAACTCATTTTCAATTCATTATCTTACCAAAAAAAGATATTTCATCTCTTATAGAATTTCAAATTCTATTAAAACAATTGATATTTCAATTTCTTACATTTTTCTTTTTCGAATCTCGATATAATAGATAATTTATAATAGATAGTTTCTTTCCTCCATATTTTATTCTAAAAAAAATTAGAATTATCATCTTTCCAAAGCTCAAAATTTCGAGATTCAATATTCATCTTAGAATTATATGAATTATTCAAATTATCAATCTCAGAATTTCTAGAAAATATATTTCTTAATTTTATCATTTTCAGAAATTCGATCGAATTTATTTTGAATATCCGAAAATATTCCTTCCAGAAATAGAAGAAAAATCTCATAAATCATCATTCATTCTTTAATTTCAAATTTTCCAAAATCCAGAAAATAAAGAAATAGATTAAAAAAAATAAGAATAATAATCAATTTAAATTTATATCCATAAGAATATTCGATTTGACAAAGATCTTTTTCAGAAGATCTTCTTGAGAATTACAAAGAAAGAAGAAATAAATCATCCAAATACAACCAGAATATTCCAATATTATAAAAGTATCATGAGAATCTAATAAATGAATATCCAATAAATGAATAGAATTTCTTGAATATATCAAATATCGAAAAGTCCAATTATCATTATCAAATAGATTCTCCCAAATTAGGATTTAATCGATTAGGATAATTTGAATCAGAAATTCAGAATTATAGCTAATTTAGCGTTTAGATTATATATATATAATTCAATATATTTTCTTCCAATAGAATTTGGAATTCAGAATCATGGCCAAGCAATCAAAGGACCAATATATGATTTATCATTCCCCTGATTAGATTATGGAGCCGTTATTTGATCAGCTTCTGATTTCAAGCCTCATGGTTCTTCAGATTCTCATGCCGAAATCGGAAGTCCGTTATTGGTGCCTATTTCCAGGAGGATAAAGGGAAATCCCAAATCCCTCGTCTCTAGATTCGTCATCTCTTCTAAATCTGGAAAACACAATCGTCCCTGATACGGACGTGAAGGCTGAAGTTGTTGTGCATGAAATGAAAATGTTGAATCCCTCCATCATGGTTAGGAGGTAAGGCTTAGGATTCAGGACCCTAGACCCCGACCCGCGGAACCCGACCTACCCGTAGCATATTGCCGGAGAATGTGCGCCAGCGATCTATGTCCGCACAGGGAAATATTGAGTAGTGAGATACAATGGGGTTCATAGCGTGTGCAGGGAGGGTACTGGGAAAGCAGTCGCACTTTTTCCTGCAGCTGGAAGCGAAGAATAAGGTGAATGGCGCGTTGAAGATATCCAGTCCTGCAGGCTACAGTTGGAAACTCTCTCTTATTCAATAATCGCGCGCAAAATCAGTCCAAACTTTTTTAGAAAGACGAAAACCAAAAACCGAAAAAGATTAAAGTTCGCTTGATGCAGTAAGATAAGTACGGAAAGGATCTGGGCTTTCATCCATTCGGTGCTTTCGTACAGCGGACGAGATCCAACATTTAAACAACTCCTTGGAGAAGACAGCTTTTGCCATAGAGACTATTCCTGGGGCCGCAGAGGCGTACTGGAAAACAACTGTTGCTTTCTTAGCTTGAGGAGGGGGTAAACTGTAAGAGGCTACGCTCGTAGGAGTATGCCATTTCCTGTGTTGAGCCACCATCTGCATGTTTGAAGCCCCTGCTAGATTGAAGCTTCTCTGGTTAAGGGTTTAGCCCTAAACCCTAGACTCCAAACTCTAAACCCTAGACCCATACCCTAAACCTTAAACCCGAATCCCTGAACCCTAGACCCTAAACCCCAAACCCTGAGGAGACTTGAGCCTTTGCAGCGGACGCACGGGTCAAGGGCCCTTGAACTCCATTTAGCTATGGAGCATTTTGAGCAACAGGGTATACCCCGAACATGCTAGGATTTCCCTACTTTCAACATTCTACACCTGTGCAATCTTTCAGCCAGTTCTGACTCCTGAAGCACTGAACTTCGACCGCAAGCGTATAGGTATAGGCCCTAAACTACATCCTCAATCCTGGAAGCCCTGCTTGTCCCAGACCGTAGCGCCTCGGTTCTGCTCCATGCCACTGGGGCCCGTTCTCCGCGCTGTCATCGCGCAAAAGCACCGCGCGGTTCGCACGGTAGTCTGCAAATGTGGGATTCAGGGGTTTGGAGGTTTGGCGCTTTGGGGATTTCCGCTAGGAGTCAGGGTTCAGCGTTGTGGGTAAATTGCTCATGGCTCTGGATTTGGAGCTTACCGGTACCTAATGGTGAGTGGGGAGTTTGGGCGTCCATGCTTTGAAGCTTGCGAGATAAAGCTTTCTTCAGCTTTCGAGGGGACCTTGCCAGTCGGCAACTTCAGAACTTTCTCAATCAGCACTTTGCCCTTTACTCAGTCGCGGATGTTTGCCAGACCCCTGGGCAAGATCTAGAAAGTAGAGCCATCAACATGGTAGCCTTTACTACTAATTGATGATTTCTAGGGACCCTGCTGAGGGGAATCAACTTTCTAGATTCTAGATCTTCCCAGAGGTCTGGGACGGTGTGGCTGAAAGAGTCGTTGATGCTTCAAATGCAATGCACGAAACCTCAGAGTTCCGGCCCTGTTTTCTGCAGCTCGTTGCCAGAGTAAATCCGGTAGACACCCCTAGGCCCGAGCCTCCAATCCCCAAGTCCGCAAATAGGAAAAAAACCGAGCATCTTTCGAACCAGACCGCAAGCTATGTTAACCCAACAACAACACTGAAACCAACACCCTACAAAATCATCTTTAAATCATGCAGACCTTAAACACTCAACCCCAAGTATAAGTCGAAAACCCCAAGCCCTTTCCCTGCAAGATCCCAAGTACTGAACCAACATTCCCAAATTTTTGCCACAGCTTTCCCAGGCCGAGGAGCAGATGGGCTCAAGGCTATCTCCTTTCGCAAGCGACAGGACCGGAGAGTTTCCAGCCCAAACATCCTGCTTCTGATGCTTCTGGGGCTTGTGGATGCTTAGGGTGCAGGGTGTAGAGCGTAGCGTTGGGGATTGTGGTGTTCAGGGTGCAGGGTTCAGAAAAGGTCGATAGAAGGATACCTACATCCTCCCGTCAAATCTTGAATGGACCGCTGAGCATGAAGGTTCATGGGCATGGGAAGGCCGGCATAACTTCCTCTGTGATCCATAAAGTGTGGCAGGTGGCAGTAGGATTCTACCGGCAGTTAGAAAGGTCCTCCTCAGTTTTATAGCAGCGCAGCAGCTCAGATGCAGTCTGTGAGGTCGGCTACAGGTCTTCTGGAGTTTAGCTACAAAGCACTTGGACACATAGAAAATTGGGCACTGCACCCACGTATGTTACATGAACATATGTATATATAGCCCATGACGTTAGCCGCTTATAGACTGTTCCTGAGTGTTGGCAGTAGACAAACAATTCACCGGAAGCCGATTTCGGATTGTGCACAGCGCGCTGTCCGATGGCAGCACCCATAGTATCATCGTCACCTGAGCTCGCGCTTCAAAAGCTGCATGGCCCATGATCCATGAGATGATGGTATACTGTAAGGGCCTACATTAATATCACTTTCATATTGAGGTCCTTTTGGAGGTAGATACCTTATGCTATGATGCGAAGTATACCAGCGCCAGAGATCTAAGACCATAACTTGCTACATTATTGCAACTGATTCGCCCGCCCTCCTGTGAAGATCGTTCCTGCTTTGGTGAAATGCTCGCCTCAGCGGCCCGAAACTGCTTAAACCTTAGACCCTAAACCCAAAACCCGCAAACCTTAAACCCTCAACCCTTACGAAAAGTTGTCATCTTCCTGCCCTCCTACCCCCCTCCAACAGACAATTCTAGAAACTTAGGGATCCATTTAGGGGTGATAAGCCCAAACCCGGGAAAGCTCTAAACCCTAAACAAGAAAAACTCAACCCTAAACAACAACTTAAATGATCAAGGCCAGGCAGCCACGCGGTTTGGGGTCTAAGGGTTTAGGGTTTAGGGTTTTAGGGTCTAGGGTTTAAGGCTTAGGCCCAAAACCTGAGAAGCCTCATCTGAAACTCAAATCACCACAGTGTTTTCTTAAATCAGGGGTACCCTTTTGGGGGTCCGCATAATAAGGATCATACCATTTTCGGGTCTATATTGGGGTCCCCCTATGTTGGGAAACCATCACCTAGATCCTACAACCCAATCCCGCCACCAAGACCAATGATCACCCCAAATTTGCCCAAGACACATCGGCACCCAATGGCGCAAGGCCCGGCGCAGATCCGCCCACACCCAAGGCCTGAGACAGGAAGCTTGATGATATGAGCTATAGTCTAAACCCCTTAGAGTGAAGGGAAGTTATATGAGAGGATTATAGGAGGAGACCTCTATGGGGCTTTTTAAGGGGGACTCTACGTTTTTAGACTATAGCTGATATAAACTTCACCTGTGAGTCCAATTACCTGGAGTTTTATGGGTTATGCTATGCCTACTACTTAGTTGGTAAAACCTACTACTAAGCTGTAGAGATTTGGGTTTACAGGCAGGGTTGGGGCCAGAGGCTCGAAGGCATGGGGCTTAGGATTTAATCTGGTGATTTCAGGTGCAGTCCTAAACCCTAATCCTAAACCCTAAAGCCTAACCCTAAGTCGGGGCCGGAGGTTAGGGATCAGGGCTAGGATATTGATCTGGTACCTTCATCAATGCGTGACAACGTGGCCCCCACAAAATGAGCCCTAAAGCCCGAACCGCCACAAGGCTCCTTCGTTTCTGAAGGCTCCCGGCATTGACTTTACAACAGGCTGTCCAACATTGGGGCTCAGCATGTTGGATTTACGGTCGATCGAGGATTCAGGATCTTAGAGTTAGAGGGTCTATCGACGGCTCCGACCATCTCCAGGGAGTAGTCTTGAAAGGTTTTGGGTTCGGGGTCTAGTATCGCAGTGGACATCTGTAGGGTCCAGGGTTAAGGGCTTGGGATAGGGGCAAGCTTCTGTGCGTGGGTGAGGAAACACTGGGTGCAGAAGCGGATGCTCATAAATCTAAAGCACGCAGGGTTGACCGGGCAGTCAGACTTTTGCGACTGGAAGCCTTGGCGGTCAGTTTTGTGGCACGAGGTTACGCTTGGTGTTATAGAGCCTTCGGCGTTGAACTCGGCAGACACAACATGATGAGGGGTTTGAAGGCTAGCCCAATTCCTCCCGCACACAACCTACACCCTGGACCCTAAACCCTAAACCCTACACCCTGAACTAAGCTCACTAAGCTCTAACCTGAACCTTGAAACAAACCCTAAATCCTAAACCCTAAACCCTAGATCCTAAACCCTAAACCCTAAACCCTAAATCCTAAACCCTAAAACCTAAACCCTAAATCCTAAACCCTAAATCCTAAACCCTTTGAGCTGTTTCCTCTGACTCCTCTCCTGGCCTTGTAAGCCCTGGCCTCGCACAGACGGTGCAAGCACAGCGCAGGCAATGCCTGCTTCCCATCCCCACACCGTTGGGTTGCTGTTAAGGAACTTAAATTAAGCTATATTATCCCCTATAATGGAGA